TTGGGATTAAGTGACTTGTCCAAGGTCACACACCTAGTAAGTGTCAAGTGTTTGGTCTGAGGCCGGATTCAGAATTTGTTTTGCGGCATTCTTTAAAGTTTGCAGGGAAATTTGGGAAAGCTCAGTGGAGTCCCTGACGTTTTGGCTTCCCCCTCCCCCACTCCTGATTTCTAAAGTTCATTGCTTTATTCTGGTTATGTTTTGAAGCAAGGTCTACTTAGGTAAATATGTACTTTCCCCCAGAATTTCAAGGTTGTTGGTAAGATTAATTAACATAATATATGTAAAGAACCTTCAGAACCTTAAAAACCTGTTTAAATGTTATATATAATCTATGAATATAATGAAATACTAAAGTGTTGTTTTTGTTGTTAAGTTATTCCAATTTTGTCCGACTCTTCATGACCCCATTTGGGGTTTTCTTGGCAAAGATACTGGAGCGGTTTGCCATTTCCTTCTCCAACTCATTTTACAGATGAGGAACTGGAGCAAACAGGTGTGAAGAAATGTTAAGGGGGCACCTAAACTTGTCTTTTGAATTGCCATATTTTCCAGAAACATTGGACCCAGAGTATGCAGGAGGCCCTGAATATGTCAAGGACGTTTTGGAGGCCCGTGAATTTTTTTTTTCAACAGTTACTTAGTGTGAGAGGCAGAATTTTAAATTACTTTGGTTATTCCAGTTTCAATTTTTCCTTTAGACTAAGGGTTCTTATTCAAGGCCCTGGAGAAGGAATCTTGTGTACATTTCAGAGGTCCATGAATTTTTTTATGTTAATAACATTATTTTTATGTATCCAGTTTCTTACATAGTCCTTTGCGTTTCGTGCATTTTAAAAAACATTTTTCTGACAAGGGTTTAGGTTTCACTGGACTGCTATGGTGTCCATGACCAAAAAGAGATTAAGAAGAACCCCTGAACTAGATGGTGTGGCCACATAATGCTCTTCGTAATAGTCTTCAGTGGCCCCCATGTCTTCACTCCCTTACCCCCACCCCTTTCAATTTTTTCTCTTCTCCCATTAGAATATAAGTTCCTTGAGGAGAACCGTCTTCCTTCTTCTTGTATTTGTATTGGCAATACTTTGCATATTGTCTGGCACGTAGTAAGTGCATAATATCTGCCTTGCCTGGATTCCTTGAACTGTCAGTAAAAGTCCTGCCTTCTGCAAGAACCTTTTCCCACTCCTCCTTAATTTTAGTACCTTTGCTCTGAGATTACCTCCAATTTATCCCGTCTGTATCTTATTTGTACATAGTCATTTACATGTTATGTCCCTCATTAAACTGTGGGCTCCTTGAGAACAGTAATTATCTTGTAACTCTCTTTGTATCCTCTCTACTTGACACACTTACTGGCACATAGTTGTTGGCACTTGATATATGCTTGTTGACTTTATATAAATTACAGATTACCTACTAATCTGTGTAGCTGGAGAGAGAGTGCGTGTGTGGGATTTAATGATGGATCTCATTAGAAGGGACCAGAGAGGCCATCTAGTCAGCCACACTCACTTTATAGATACGGGCACTAAAACCAAAGAAGAAGAGTGTGATTGGTACAGTAGAGTATTGTATACATTGTTACATGTGCTCATTGTATCAGTTATTCTCTCTGTTTTGTTCTTCTGGGAATTCTCCCAGAAAGGACTATGTTGTAATAACAAAAAGCATAAATAAAGTGATTTCTTGAAGCCTCAATAAAACTTTATTTTAAGAAGAATATTTGTGAACTTTTTTCAACCTTGATTAAAATCTGCCGTGAAATTATCTATGACTTTAGGATGATGAATCTTAACTTAGATTAAGGTGCTAAATTTGTAAATAAAAATGTTATACAAATAAACCCATTTTTTAGCAATACTTGAGCAAAACCAGGTGAAAAGGAAGAATGAGAATAGCATTGGTTACAAGACCTTTTATAAATTTTTCATAAATTTTTGAAACATTCCAAGTTTAACTAGGTGGCACAGTGGATAGAGCGCTAGGCCTTGAATCAAGAAGACCTGATCTCACACATTTATTGGCTAGCTGTATAACCCTGGGCATGTCACTTAATTTCTTTATGCCTCAGTTTTCTCAACTGTAAAATGAGGATCATAATAGTGTCTACTTCATAGGGTGGTTATGAAGATCAATGAGATAATATTTGTAAAGGGTTTAGCATAGTACCTGCTATATAATAGACTCTATACAAAAATTTATTCCTTTCTCCCTCCCTCCTTATTTAAAATTACGTGATTATTCTGTAGTGCCATAAATAATTTCCTCTTTTGATATTTTCATTGGTAGATTAGTACGTGTAACATAACAATCATTAAAGATGTTTCCAGGGCAGCTATAACATAGTTTAAGCAAGCTCTGAGGATTTTTTGTTTGTGTTCTGAAAACAAAATCTTGACCAAGTGAACATCAACTGCCAGCCTCTGTGCTTACCCTGCTATCTGTACAAAATCTTTTATGAGAGGCATTTCTCCATCAACTGAAGGTATTTTCAAGAAGAGCATTAGCAGGGAACAAGCAGATTTTTGCAAGTGATAGTCAGCAATGGGACCACATGTTTACAATTTTATCTGACTGAAAGGGTAGAGAATATAAGATCTCAATGTGCTTTTACTTTTTTTTTTTTAATACAAAAAAGCATTTGCTGATGCCATCTTACTGGCTCTTTTACAACAAGGTCTCTCATATCCATGCATTAATATCATCATTCAGGATTCCTTGAAAAATGGAGCAGCGGAAATAACCTTCTTCACTGACTGCCTGACATTTAAAATTGGCAAGGCATAAAACAGGGAGATGCATACTAGCCAAGATACCAGTATGATGGAGGAGATTCAGCTCTGAATTCAGGTCAAGGAGGGATTGATCTTCAGTGGGTGATGAGGTCTCCCAGATGTAAATTATATTATTCCCCTAAAGTATGGCAGAATCTCCTGAAAGAGACCTGTAATCACTCAAAGGAGTTTGCCTTGTCCGTCCTCATGGGAAAGGAGAAATATTTGAGGAATGTCTGTTGTCTAGGTTTGAACATATATTTGAAAGGAGACTCTTACAGTGTTTGTCTGATTCTATGTATGTCTGTGTCAGATGGTATAGATGGAGGATGAGCTGGACCCAGAGTAGCATGCGAGATTGCTTTTGGGGATCACAAAGTCCCAAGTTTCCACAGAAAGTGAAGGCCCATATTGTTCATAATAACATTTTACTAGTTTTCTTTCATCAGTGAGACATTGAACACCACTATCTCCAAAGAACTGAAGGTAAATATCACATAGAGGGCTACAGAAAGGCAAATGGTGGGTGTAAATAGACTGTCATATAATCCATGAGAAGCTTCAAAAGACATATAGGACATCATCAAGGAATTTTATGAGACAGAGAAAAATGGCTTGGTCACATGGTGAGAGGGAGACATGACAGGTAGATAACTAGAGTGTTTCCCTGGGTACTCTTGCTGTTGGGAAATATTGAATATGAATATGACAACAAAAAACAGTTGCTTATTAAGCTCCTGTCCTGTGCCAGGCATTGTGCTAAGTAATTGGGATGCACAAAAAGGGCAAAAACACAGTCCCTGCTCAAGTTGCTCCTTTTCTAAAGAAATCACACACACACACACACACACACACGTAAATATATGTATATATACATATATAAATAAATGTACTTTTTGCAGTATCAATGCAAGGTAATCTCAAGGGGAAGGTGCTAGTAGTGGGAGCTTTGGGAGGGAAGTGGGGATGAGCTCTTACAGAAAGTAGATTTTGAGGTGAGGAGTTTTTTGGGGAGGAGCAGGGGGTATGGCAATCAGGGTTAAGTGACTTGTCCAGGGTCACACAGCTAGTGAGTATCATGTGCCTGATGCCAGATTTGAACTCAGGTCCTCCTGACTCTAGCACTGGTGCTCTATCCACTGTGCTACCTAGCTGCCCCTTTGAGGTGAATTTTGAAAGAAGACATCAAAGCCAGAAGGTAAAGAAGGAGCATATTCCAGTCCGAAGGACAGCCAATCTAAAAGCACAACTGGGAGATGGAGTATGGAGTATTGCAGCAATTAGACTAGTGTAGTTGGATTGTAGAGTATGTGGAGAGGAGTAAATTGGAAAGGTAGAAAGGGGATTGGTTACATAGCTTTCAAATGCTAAACAGAGTACTTGAAGTCTCTATTTTTATATTGCAATAATATTTCATTATAGCAATATACCTTACTTTGTCTACAGCCATTTCCTAACCAGTAGTCCACAGTTTTTTACTACTATAAAAAAAGGCCTGCTATTTTGGTTTATGTGGGGCATTTCTTTGTGTCTTTTGCCTTCTTAGGAAATATGCCCAGTAGTGGGATCTCTGGGTCATAGAATATGAATATAAAAACTTTCATAAGTGTAATTGTTTATCAGAATTGACAGCTCTACCAGCAGCATGTTAGTGTATATGTCTTCTCATAGCTCCCTCAACACTATTTTCATCTGTTATTATCTGTGCCAGTTTGATCAGTATGAATTGAAGCTTGAGTTATTATAATTTGCATATTTCATTATCAGTGACTGAGCATTTTTTCATATTCTAGGTAATAGTTTTCACTTTTGAAAATGGACCATGCTCTTTGAACATATATATTGAAGAATGGTGGTTTTTTTTTGTATTTTTCTGTCAGTTTCCTTGATTTCTTTAATTTCATACTTATATCAAGAAATTTTTAATGCAAAGATTTTTCTCCCTACTCTTTTCTTCCTGATTTCTAACTGCTTTAATTTTGTTCATCCAAAAACCAATACCTTTTTAAATGTAGCTTATCCAAATTTGATTACTAAAAATGCAATCTAGTTTTGGGAAAGTTTATCATGTGATATTACTTTGGAGTATTCGTTTTTCTTTCCCATTTTTGTAGATAGAATTAGCATGGAAATAACCTCCAATCTTAACAGAAAGTGCAAAATGTCCAGGTTAGAATTTCAGTGTATTATGATGGCATAATTTTTTTTCTTTCATTTTTCTAGAAACACGATCAGGGGCAAGTTTTGTTGGATACAGTCTTCAAACATCTTGATTTAACTGAGAGAGATTATTTTGGTTTGCAATTGGCTGACAATTCTACGGACAACCCAGTAAGTCTAATTTGTTATAGTATTCTGAAACTTTTTATTCTATTGGGCTTCCTTTTTATTTGTAAAAATTGTATGTTTTAGTAGCCTTAATATTGTTGGATAATTTAACATTCACTTTCTTAAACTTTTCTTTATACTTCTCCCTATTTGTTAGCCTAATTTCTTTTTTGTTTTGACCCTAAAGCATAATTAATTATTTTCTTTCCGGTTTTAATCTTCTAATCTAATCGTTAAATCTGCTCTTTTCCAACCTTCATAGCACAGGAAACTAAAATATAGCAAGTTTGATTTCTGCTGATTGACACCCAGAAAATGAGCTGTGAAGCAATGGTCACCAATTTGGTTTAAAAAATTTTTAAACAAAATAGTTTTTAATAGCACTTTTATGGCAGGGTAGATATATCCAAATAGTTGTTTGAGCCTAAATTGAACAAATGGAAAGATTTACAAGTAAAGATTGTATGACCTTCAGTAAGTTACTTAGCCTCTATCAGCCTTCAACTTTTCCTTTACCTGTAACATGAGGGACTTACACTAAATGATCTTTCTAGTTCTTATACCTATGATAATAATTTAGTTGGCAAATGAGGTTTTTTAAATTTATAAGGGGCACCAGACTTGATAATGACTTTTGAGAAGTTTTGTGTTATTTATTTTGTTGTTTGAACAATGATTCTTTTTTTCTTTTTTTAGGGGAGGGGAGGCAATCGGGGTTAAGTGACTTGCCTGTGGTCACACAGCTAGTAAGTGTCATGTGTCTGAGGCTGGATTTGAACTCAGGTCCTCCTGACTCCAAGGCCAGAGCTCTATCCACTGCACCACCTAGCTGTCCATGAACAATGATTCTTCAAATCAAGAATTATAAATTCTGAGAGTGGGATTTGATAAAAGTTTCTAAGTCATAATAGGAAAATCTTAGAATAATAAAACTAAAAATGGGACAAAGTACGAAGTTGAAAAACACTGATTCATTTTCCCAGTATAGTACCCTCAGTTTTCTGTGACTTATGATTGAAAGTAAAATTTTAGATAGTTAAAAAGAAGTACTGGCTTAATCAACAAGTCATTATTTGTAGAATTTAACTTAAAAGGTATTATAAATTGAAGACAAAAATAGATGCATAAAGAGTTTATATAGATTCTGGGATTTGTGTTGTTAAAGGATTTATTTGTAACCTTTTGAGGTTAATTGGCAATTTCATCAGCTCTGATAGGTGTTTAACATCTCCATGCAAACAGCTCACAGAGCTATTTATGCTGTCCTGTTCTCTCTTCTGCTCTTCAGGCCTACGTCGTCAGTTGCCCATTGAAATTTGAAATGATATGTCCCAAAGACACCTGAAGCTCAAGGTGTCCAAAACTGAACTCGTTATCATTCACCCTAAACACACCCCCTCTCTCATACTTTTCTATATCTGTCAAAGACATCTTCATCCTTCAGCTCTTAGAAGTTTATGATTTTGGTATTATCCTGGACTCTTTGCTCTCATTCACCCCATCAAGTTCCTCTGCCATATTTCTCCCATCTCTGTGACTGTGGGATGGCATTTGCCATCCCAGGTACCTGGAATTCTTTCATTCCTTACTTCAGCCTCAGAGTTCTTTTTCTTTCAAGGCACAACTTAAGCACCATCTTCTACATAAAGCCTTTCTTTATTCCCTCAATCACTAATGTCTTTTACTTCAAAGGTTTATTTAACTATGTTGTATATGTATTTACATATTAGTATACATAAAATATGTATAAATATTTGTATTAACTTTATGTTTCTGCCACATATTTTTATAAGTACTTATTTACTCCATTAGAATGTAAGACACTTTTGAGTAGAATTGTTTCATTTTTTTGTATTTGTGATCCCAATGCTTGTAACAATTTCTAGCAAATGTAAGTGCTAAGTAAATAGTTATTCATTGATTAATGTAATGAATGTACCATATTTGTTTTTTATGGGGTAACCAGATTCCTTCCCAAAATGTCCTCTGATGCCTCATTATTGTTCTGTGTGAACAACTTCTTGACCCTGTATAAAGTGGCTTATGTTGTTATATTTATTAAAGTTTCACAACAAAATTATTGGTTAATATGCTCTGTATGGCATATGGGTCTATCCTTTAGAACCTATATTATGCTTCTTAAGTGATAGTGTATGTTTACTTTTATTTATTGGTATTATGTAACTAGCAATGTATCTTATGTTGTAAAGTATTTTAATGAGTAATTTTCTAGATAATGATGAAAAAAAATACCAAAATTTCTGGGATGGAACTGAAATAGTTCTCCAGGGGGAAAAATCATACCTTTACAAACATCCGTTAATAAAATAGAAAAAGCAAAGATTAATGAATATTCATTAAAAAATAGAATCCTAACAAATAAACCTAAAATAATCATAAAAGAGGAGATATTAATTAGAGGGGAAATAAATAAAAAATAGAACAGATTAGTAAACTAAGACTTAGTGATTTGCCTATACTTGATAGAGCTCGTAAGTGTTAAGTAGGATTTAAGCCTAGGTTTTCTTGAGTCCAGATCTCGCCCTCTATTGGCCAAGCTTCTCTGTAATTTGAATTTAAATAAATGAGAAAAAGATTATTTTGATAGAAACATTTTTTGTAGAATTGAGAAATTGAGAGGCTGAAAAGGAGAGGTTTCTTTGACATTTATTAGGCTTTGTTAGATGCCCCCACTAAGTAGCCACTGAAATAAATAATCATCTTAACCTTAAAATGCAGCTCAGAAATTAAATGAATATTGTGTTGGGAACACAGATCAGTGTCTACCATTCTTCTCACTTTAGGTTATTGTGCTCTCGTTGAGTACTACACAAGGAAGTTGGATATTATAGTAGTGTTACGATAATTCAGTTGGTCCAGCCCCTTAGCCTAGAAGAAGCTTGAAATCATCACAACAGTACCAGAAAGGAAAGGAGAAACCATCTTCTTCACCATTATAGTTATATCCATAATAGTGGGCTGTTTAGTCGTACGTGAAATGATTAATCATAGAAGATTCCAGTTTCTAAAAATTCAGTTTCTTTCTGACTTGATAATTCCATATAGTTCAAAATTCTACCATGTAAATTTATATGTGGTGAGATATCAAGCATTAGTATTTTTTTTTTACTGTACCCATTATTTCATTTGTATAGGAAACTCTCACTAAAGAAATTCCCTCTGTTAATGCAGATCAGCACCTGCTTTGCAGTTTATATATAGTTTTAGCGATTTGCCAGGGGCCCGGAGGTTAAGTAACTTGTTCAGTGTCCCATAGCCAGGGTCCCACAGAAGTGTCAGGAGTCCCAAATTTTACTGACTCTGAATCTAGCTCTTTAGTTATTATACCATATTATATCCCATTATATCCTAATAAAATTAGGCTTAATTAGAGGGAAGAGAATATTTTAACAAGGAGAGAAATTAAAATTTGATTTGACCTTTTCCATTTTCTAGGGAGTCTGTATGGGGTACTTTTCCAAAAGCATGGGGCATTCACATTAGAACAGTTTTTGTACAGGAAACTTAGTATTGTTCTGGAAAGAGAAAGGCTTCCCAGCCAAATAACCCCCTTATCCTGAATGCAACATTTTAATTGAAGGTATCATTGTAGAAATAATCAAGAAAATCAATGAAGTTTTATTACAGTATTACTTTGTGCCATATACTGTGGTGAGGACTGGGCATACAAATACAAAGAATTAAATAATCCCTGCTCCGAAGTAGTTTGAATTTTAATGGAGGAAACGACACATAAATATGTACACAATAAATATAAATAGAATAAATACAAAGGCATTTGGAATGGAGAGTATTAGCGGTGGAGGGGGAGGAGGTGATCAGGAAAGGCATCTGATGGAATCTTGCTTAAGCTGTGTCTTGACAGAGAAGGATTCTGTGATATGTGGAGGTGAGGAAGGAGTGTATTCCAGATGGTTGGATGGATGGATGGCCAATGCAAAAATTCAAAGATGGGGAAAAAAATTGAAAAAGAACTTGAGTTTTACATAAAGTCGCTGTTAATTTTACCATGCTCTAACCATAGCTGTCCATGATGACCAGTTATACTGACTGACCACACTATACAGTTCATTAGCTTTCCAATCCTCATGCCTTATTATCCTTTCTATATGAACTTCATGTTCATTTTATCCATTCTTCAGCTGTTCTTAAGTGCAAAACCACCATGTATCTAGTGACTAAACTATTTGAGAGGCAGAGGATATTTAATTTTAAGTACTTACTCTCCTGTATCACTTAAAAGATGAATTATTATTGCTGTCCTACACTAAGCACTTCATTTTATTTATTACACTTGGAGATATCAGAATACAGTTAGTCTTGGCCACTTGGAAGGATTTATCTAATGATAGTGTGAGGCTAGTGAAATTTTCTTCTCTATCAAATCAGTCTTACAGTGTAATTTTTTTTTTAATTATTAATTGCTAGTTCAGTCCTCCAGACTGGAAATGTAAAACCTCATTTTACAGAAAAAGAAAATGAATGCTAGAGAATTAAAAGACTGCTCAAGGACACAGAGGCAGACCTAGGATTAAAAACCAGGTTTGTCGTCTCTTAGCCCAGTGTTCTTTTCAGTTCATTCCAGTAAGACTAAAATATTTCAAAGAATTTGGATTTTGATGTAGCCAAATAGTACTTAGGGGAACCAAATCTATATGTAAGGAAGAATCTGTGTTTGCATTAGTTAGAAGGAAAAGTGAAGAGGATTTTCTTTAATTTAATTCCATTAATGGAGGAAAATATTGTTTATTAAAGCAGTGAAGAACTATCTGTAAGATTTTGCTATTGTCTTCAGATATGCAGGAATTTTAAAAATGAAAAATTAATAGGAGAGGAATGAAATACTATGAAATTGTGAAACCGTGTAAAACTCATAGTTTTAATTTATGTAGTGTTTTTTGGTTACAAAGTACCTTCACATGCATAAACTCATATGAACCTTAAAAACATCTGGTGAGTGTAATTAGTATAATTATTATTAT